GTGGAGGGGGATGCTTCAGTTTTTGGGCCCCTTCGTGACAAGAAGGACACTGAGGGACAGGAGAGTGTCCAGAGAAAGGCAGCAGAGCTGGGGAAGGGGCTGGAGCAGGAGGAGAAGGGTCTGGAGAACTTGTGAGGAGCAGCTGAGGGAGCTGGGGGTGTTGAGCCTGGAGCAAAGGAGGCTGAGGGGAGACCTGCTGGCTCTGCAGCTGCTGAGAGGAGGTTGGAGCCAGGGGGGTCGGGCTCTGCTCCCCAGGAACAAGCGACAGGACAAGAGGGAACGGCCTCAAGTTGTGCCAGGGGAGGTTGAGGTTGGATCTGGGGAACAATTCCTGCCTGGCAAGGGTTGGCAGGGCCTGGCCCAGGCTGCCCAGGGCAGGGGGGGAGTCCCCATTCCTGGAGGGGTTTCCAAGCCCTGGAGATGGTGCTGAGGGACATGGGGCACTGGTGGCCTTGGCAGGGCTGGGGGAACAGTTGGACTGGAGGGCTTTCCAATCTAAAATATTCCATGATTCCCAGTGAGGGTCAGTGCTTCTTGGGTGTAAATCCTGGCAGAGCTGCTCCAGCCCTCCCAGCATCTCCGGGGCCTCCTCTGGCCTCTCTCCAACAGCTCCATGTCCTTCCTGTGCTGGGGACCCCAGCCTGGCCCCAGCCCTGCAGGGGGGTCTCAGCAGAGGGGACAACCCCCTCCCTGGCCCTGCTGGTCACTCTGCTGGGGACACAGCCCAGGACAGAGGTGGGTTCTGGTCTCCAGCACACGGTGCCAAGACATGTCCCATTTTCCATCCATCCATCTCTCTAAGGCAAGAAGGAGGGGGGAAGGTGAGGCCAGATCAGAGCTCAGAATCCATCCTCATCCTCCAGCAGCTCCTGGTCTTGATCCGTGACGACAGACAAGCCCTGAACCTCCTGGGGGAGCTGGAAGGACACGGAGCACGTGAGCTCCAGCATCCTCTGCCAGGCAGCAGCTATTTTGGGACAAACAAGGACTTCTGCTCCCCCCCTTGAGCACCAAGCTGCAGTCATTGCAGGGAGGGGGGGAAAAAAGTGCTGACCTGGCAGAGGTTGGGCTCTGAAGCCACCTGAGGAAATAATGAACGTTCCCATCAAAGCGCATCGGGTGGAGGGTTGGGATTTTTTTGCTCGTGCCTTTCAGATGAGATGAAGTGAAAAAGCAGGGAAATCCTCCCCCCCCAGGGCTGGAAAGAGTCGTTGGCTGCTCGTGGGAACGTGGCTTTGATGGGGAAGGGATGTGACTTGGCTTGGCAATGTCAGGAGAAGGTCAGGAGGCTGAGGCAGTGAAGGTTCAACCTGATGGAACGATCACAGGCTGATGGCAGGAACAGGAGCCTTCGTGGTGGGACCCCTGGGAACAGGGAACAGCTCTGGGGTCCTCAACACAAGGACATGGAGCTGTTGGAGTGAGGCCAGAGGAGGCCCTGGAGATGCTGGGAGGGCTGGAGCAGTTCTGGAGCCAGGCTGGGAGAGTTGGGGTGTTCAGCCTGGAGAAGAGAAGGCTCCAGGGAGACCTGAGAGCACCTTCCAGTGCCTGAAGGGGCTCCAGGAAAGCTGGGGAGGGGCTTGGGACAAGGGCAGGGAGGGATGGGAGCAGGGGGAAGGGTTTCCAGCTGGCAGAGGGAGCTGGAGCTGAGATGTGAGGGAGAAATTCTGTGCTGTGAGGGTGGGGAGAGCCTGGCCCAGGTTGCCCAGGGAAGCTGTGGCTGCCCCATCCCTGGGGGTGTTGAAGGGCAGGTTGGATGGGGCTTGGAGCAGCCTGGGCTGCTGGGAGGTGTCCCTGCCCATGGCAGGGGGGTGGATCTAGATGATCTTTCAGGTCCCTTCCAACCCAAACCATTCTGGGATTCTAGGAGCTGGGATTTTGGGAGCAGCCTGCCCAGTTCTGGGGTTCATCTCCCACCAACCTCCTCCATGGGCAGGAGGAGAGAGGCTGAGGACCAGCCTGTGTGGTGGTGATCCCAACCATCTCCTGGTGGGGCTTTTCAGGGCAGCCAGGAGTGGGGAAGCAGGAGCCTGGTCCCCAAGTGGCTCCCAACCCTCTTGGCACGTTTCTCCTCAGCTCCTCAAGCTCAGCACCTGCACCCTGGGCAGGCAACTCCTGCTGGCTGGGAAAAGCTGCCTTGATGTGGTTTGTTTTTGTGCAGAAGCTCCATCCCACTCCAAGCTTCTCTGCCAGCTCCAGCTGCCGTGACAAGAAGCTCTGCTCCTTGGGTTCCCTGCCCTGGGTTGGGTTTTCCAGCTGCCTGGCTCTGTCAGGCCACTTAGCAAAGAAATCTCCCACCTCTCAGGTTAACAATCTCCCTTCATTAAAACGTTCCTTGACACCAAAATTACTGGTGCAGAAACAAGCCCCAGACCCCAAACACTTTGATCTTCTGCTCTTCTCTACCCACAGTTAATGCCATTTTATTGCTGACCCCCCTCACTTCTCTGTCTCCATCAGCCCAGGATTTTTAAGGCTTGACAATAAGGAACTGCTTTATATTTTTATTTTCATTCTGGGGGCTCCAACAACATCTTTTCAAGTAAAATATTCCTGCAAAAATAAGGAGTAATAAACCAAATGATCCTGCTCAGAGCCAGGGAAGAATCAAAGCAACATATTTATTAAATATCTATTAAAATTTAAATGGAGATATAGTATAGATAGAGATATATTTATTATATAGATTAGATTAGATTGATTATAGATCATCCCTGGAAACGTTGCAGGTCAGGTTGGATGGGACTCTGAGGAACCTGGTTGAAGAGGGTTGGACTAGGTGACCTTTAAAGGTCCCATCCAACCCAAAAGGAGGTGGCACCACCTTTTCTCCTTGGAAATACCAATTCAACCTGTGGGGTTGTGGTGGCAACGACCAAAAAAAGATGAGCTGGAGAACCTGAACAGTGGGATGTCCTGGTGGGGTTTCTGCAGCAACGAGGGGGAGAGGTGGATATTTGTGCTCTTCCCACCTTCCCTGCCCCATCTCTGGTCCTGTGCTGCTCTGGGGTGGAGGAGGGTGGAGGGAAGAGGGTCCTACATCATCACTTGAGCACCAAACGTCCTTCCTGGGGTCAGGGTGAGGAACCTCATCTTGAAGAGCACAACAAGGCACCTGCAACTTGATGTCTGGTTGATTCTCGGGGGCTTTGAGATGAATTTACTGAGTTCAGGGTTCATTTCAGCTGGTTTTGCAGCTGAATTCTGATCCAAGCATCAGCTGAGCTCCTTTTCTGGGGCAAAAAAAAATGGATTTGAGGCGAGTTTTCAGGCTTTTTGGAGCCTTTCCTGTAGGATGAGGGGTGGTTTTGTAGCCAGCAGAGTGAGTTTGAGGCTCCATGAACACCTTCCAACCTCTGGTGTCAGTTATAGCATAAGAAGGACATGGAGCTGTTGGAGAGAAGACAGAGGAGGCCACAGAGATGCTGGGAGGGCTGGAGCAGCTCTGGAGCCAGGCTGGGAGAGTTGGGGTGTTCAGCCTGGAGAAGAGAAGGCTCCAGGGAGACCTGAGAGCACCTTCCAGTGCCTGAAGGGGCTCCAGGAAAGCTGGGGAGGGACTTGGGACAAGGGCAGGGAGGGATGGGAGCAGGGGGAAGGGTTTCCAGCTGGCAGAGGGAGCTGGAGCTGAGATGTGAGGGAGAAATTCTGTGCTGTGAGGGTGGGGAGAGCCTGGCCCAGGTTGCCCAGAGAAGCTGTGGCTGCCCCATCCCTGGCAGTGTTGAAGGGCAGGTTGGATGGGGCTTGGAGCAGCCTGGGCTGCTGGGAGGTGTCCCTGCCCATGCAGGGGGGTGGGATGGGATGTTCCTTAAGCTCCCTTCCTGAAAACCTTGGCGCGGTGGCGTCGGGTCCCAGATCTCAAAGCTCTTTCCCCAACCCTCGTCGACGATCCCGTCAAACCCAGCCCCGTGGGGTTGTTGAAGTCCCTTTTCTCCTTCTTCTCCTTCTCCTCCTTCGTCTTCTTCTCCTTTCTTTTTCTTCTTCTTCCTTCTCCTTCTTTCTTCTCCTTCTTCTTCTTTCTTCTCCTTCTTCTTCTTTCTTCTCCTTCTTCTCCTTTCTTCTTCTTTCTTCTCCTTCTTCTTCTTTCTTCTCCTTCTTCTTCTTTCTTCTCCTTCTTCTTCTTTCTTCTCCTTCTTCTTCTTTCTTCTCCTTCTTCTTCTTTCTTCTCCTTCTTCTTCTTTCTTCTCCTTCTTCTTCTTTCTTCTCCTTCTTCTTCTTTCTTCTCCTTCTTCTTCTTTCTTCTCCTTCTTCTTCTTTCTTCTCCTTCTTCTTCTTTCTTCTCCTTCTTCTTCTTTCTTCTCCTTCTTCTTCTTTCTTCTCCTTCTTCTTCTTTCTTCTCCTTCTTCTTCTTTCTTCTCCTTCTTCTTCTTTCTTCTCCTTCTTCTTCTTTCTTCTCCTTCTTCTTCTTTCTTCTCCTTCTTCTTCTTTCTTCTCCTTCTTCTTCTTTCTTCTCCTTCTTCTTCTTTCTTCTCCTTCTTCTTCTTTCTTCTCCTTCTTCTTCTTTCTTCTCCTTCTTCTTCTTTCTTCTCCTTCTTCTTCTTTCTTCTCCTTCTTCTTCTTTCTTCTCCTTCTTCTTCTTTCTTCTCCTTCTTCTTCTTTCTTCTCCTTCTTCTTCTTTCTTCTCCTTCTTCTTCTTTCTTCTCCTTCTTCTTCTTTCTTCTCCTTCTTCTTCTTTCTTCTCCTTCTTCTTCTTTCTTCTCCTTCTTCTTCTTTCTTCTCCTTCTTCTTCTTTCTTCTCCTTCTTCTTCTTTCTTCTCCTTCTTCTTCTTTCTTCTCCTTCTTCTTCTTTCTTCTCCTTCTTCTTCTTTCTTCTCCTTCTTCTCCTTTCTTCTTCTTTCTTCTCCTTCTTCTTCTTTCTTCTCCTTCTTCTTCTTTCTTCTCCTTCTTCTTCTTTCTTCTCCTTCTTCTTCTTTCTTCTCCTTCTTCTCATTCTTCTTCCTTCTTCTTCTTCCTTCTTCTTCCTTCTCCTTCTTCTCCTGACCCTCCCCAACCCCTCCCTGCAGGCTGGAATGGGTGGAGATCATCGAGCCCCGCACCCGGGAGCGCATGTACGCCAACCTGCTGACGGGGGAGTGCGTCTGGGACCCCCCGGCCGGCGTGCGCATCAAGCGCACCAACGAGAACCAGTGGTGGGAGCTCTTCGACCCCAACACCTCCCGCTTCTACTACTACAATGCCACCACCCAGAGGACCGTCTGGCACCGGCCCCAGAACTGCGACATCATCCCCTTGGCCAAGCTGCAAACCCTGAAGCAGAACACGGAGTCGCCCCGCGCCTCCGCGGAGAACAGCCCCGGGAGGAGCAGCAACGTCAGCAGGGAAGGAAGCACCAGCTCCTCCCTGGAGCAGGAGCTGGAGGGCACTGAGAAGGTGCAGGAGCAGAGGACGAGCTGCCAGGCAACCCAGTATGCGGTGGTGAAAGAGGAGGTGGAGAGGTAAAAAGATTTGAACCGGGGCTGGGTGGGTGGGTGGGTGCGGAACCTGCGTCCTAGGGGTGGGTTTTGGGGGGTTGGATGGCAAGGAAAGGGACTTGGAGGGAGTGGGGAGTGGTCATGGAGCTGGGGAAGGGGCTGGAGCAGGAGGAGAAGGGTCTGGAGAACTTGTGAGGAGCAGCTGAGGGAGCTGGGGGTGTTGATCCTGGAGCAAAGGAGGCTGAGGGGAGACCTGCTGGCTCTGCAGCTGCTGAGAGGAGGTTGGAGCCAGGGGGGTCGGGCTCTGCTCCCCAGGAACAAGCCCTGGGACAAGAGGGAACGGCCTCAAGTTGTGCCAGGGGAGGTTGAGGTTGGATCTGGGGAACAATTCCTGCCTGGCAAGGGTTGTCAGGGCCTGGCCCCATCCCTGAAGGGGTTTCCAAGCCCTGGAGATGGTGCTGAGGGACATGGGGCACTGGTGGCCTTGGCAGGGCTGGGGAAACAGTTGGACTTGATGATCTCAAAGGGTTTTTCCAGCTAAAATGACCCCATTAGTGGATGAGTATCCCCTTCAGCTCCACCTCTCATGACATGAATCACCCAAGCAGTGTCACTGCTGAGAAATCAACTGCTCAGTTCCTGCCCCCAACAAGTCCTCCTTCCTTCTCCCTGGCTCACAGAAGCTGTGGCTGGGTGACCTCCTGGCCAGGCAGGATGGGAACAGGAGCTCCCAGCTCAGCAGGTTCCTTCCAGCTGGGCCCTCAGAGGCAGCCTTGGTCTCCCTGAGCTTTTGGAAGATCCTCTGATAAAGGTCCTGGAATGTGGGGATGGCATCTGGTTGGAGAGGTGGATGGTTTGGGTGTTCAGTCACAAGGATCTTGAGTGGCAGATGTGGCTGCCCAGGATGGGTCCATTCAGGGCACACTCGTGGCTATTTAAGCCAGGCTTTGCTTGCCCAGCCTTGAAGATACCAAGTCCTGACCTTCAGCACGACAAGGGGTGGGGGGTT